GTGCTCGCTGGGAAGGCACTGCCCCACAGGAGGAGGGGGGACAGTAGCTCAGGGGGACGGGGAGGAAAGACAGCACCCCGGGTGTATGGATGTGTGGGATCCTCCTTGGTTAGGAAACCAAGGAAATGGTGCTGAGTTTAAGTTACCATTTTGAACAACTGAAAAGATTAAAACGCTACTTGGGAAAAATTACAGCTCTATGTCCTAGCTCCCTCCCCTCCTCCCCACATCCGCATCTCCATATCCTTTCCTTGGGATGAGCAGGAACCCCGGGTGGCTTGTGTAGACTTCACCAGCAACACGAGCTCTCTGACTTGGTAGCAAACCTGCTCTAACAGCTGCGCTGATGTCCCTCGATGTTGCTGGTGTAATAACAAGGAATTAAATACAGTCGTGTTCATTTCAAATTCCATTTGAAATACAAATAGGTAAAGCCTTGTTCACCAAATGCAAAAGAGCCAGTGGAACAAGGAAGTTCAGTGAATGTTTTTTGTTTTAAGTCTTCTGAGAAATACTACAAAGGGCACAGAGTAAAACAGGGCGAAGTAACGAGAGCGGAGTTCTCGCTGCCTTTTGATGCAGGAGCGCTCAGGCATGTTTAACGCCGGGCATGCTCCTGGGATGGGAACCGGTGTGCCTTGTGCTTCTCGGGCAGATGAAGGGAGGAGCGCTTCTGAATTTGCCCGGCACTGATGGTCACCTACTGAGTCACGTCGGGCAACTTGACTTCATCTTTCTGGTCTTCTGAAGCAGGGATGGTGTGGGTCCATGTCTGCTGTGCAGACTCCCAGGGAACGGAAGGGCGGCTGTGCTCTTTGGAATAAGCTTTTGGTACCTCTAACAGCATAGGTCTGCGCTTGGTTGGCACCTGTAATTATTGATAATATTGATCTGTTTGTCTAACAGCTGACCCCGAACCTATTAATGCAAGGCGAAAGCATCCTATTGACTTTGCTGGACTTCAGAGCAGACCCCGTGTCCTCTCCCGTCAGCCGGTGCTTGTGGGTGCAAATGTCCTCGGCCATGGACCCTGCGCGGGCCCCGCAGCGCAGCCTGCACCAGCAAGCTCTGCTCCCTTGGGAGGCCGGGCAGCGGTCTCCTGTGATGCTGGGGAGTGGAAGAGGGTTGATTGGGTGTGCTGGGGTGATGGGGGGCCCCAGGGTTCAGTGGGAGTGTGGCGATGCGGCGGTGGCTCTGGGTGGCTGCCATGGGACGGGTCAGGTGAGGGTGACAATTTTCAGCTGCAGGAATTCCTATGGAGAGGGGTTACGATTTAGCACAAATTTGCTATAAACAAGGTTACACCTGAATCTGGGGAAAGTTTTAGAAATATTTGGCGTGCACTTTGCTTTGCAGACTGGTACGTAGGGAGAAGTTTTATTCCCAAGGAGACCGTTCCCTGCACGCAACGTGCCACCATGGGGATTCCACTTCAGCAGCCAGCAAAATTCTGTTCCCATCAGAGGAGCTGCCTCCTCCTCTTTTGTTAAGGGAGGGGGGGCTGGAATTTCACCTGGGAGAGAAAAAAATACGTATTTATCTGAGGTGAATGTGCTTGTTGTCAGTGGAGGCGGGGAAGGGTTAAGATGTGCTGGCTTTGAAGCAGCCCTCCTGCTCCTGTCCTTGCAAAATCAGCCCCGACTGCGCTCAGCCATGCAAGCGCATGGAGCTCTGTGACTTGCGGAGTGCAAACCACATTATCGTCATTCAGCGACTAGTTGATAACCATGACAGAGTCACAGGATCTTTCTTCAAAGTTATGTGCAACAGTAGCTGGGGGAGCCAGTGGATTTCTTTTTTTTTTTTTTGTTTAGCATCCAGGCACTCGGGTGGTGGTACTGCTGCAGCGTGTGGTGCAGAGCTGAGCCCAAAATGTGGCTCTGAGGTACTGCTTGATGATGGAGAGGGAGAATCTAAAGGGCGATTTAGTAAAACAGCAAAACCTTGTGAGAGTTGCTGATAACAGTTCGGGATTTGGCTTTGATGGTGCAGTGCCTAAGAATAAAGCTGGCAGAGTAAAGCCTCGGGGCTGGTCTTTTTAGAAGTATCTCTGTTTTGAACTGTCCAGTTTGAGCACTGGTGGTTGAACTCCAGTCTCACAGAATTGCCGCTCAAAGTTTTCCAAGAATTGAGGCTTTTTAAAGGCGATTCAAACGGAGCTCCCCTCCTCCCACCACGGTTTTGGAAAATCATGACAGGGGCTACGCAATTAAAAAGTCATTTAATTTTCTTCATCTGAGATCTGGTCCTGTTTGTTCATGTTGTTGGTGTTATTCCCAGTAATAGCCTCATGGCATTCCCCGGCACTATAAATTCACTCTGAGACCAAGTTGTTTGAAAGCCTGGGTGTCAGCAGGAGGAAGCCAGCTCCTCCTAACTGAGCTTTCTGATCGTGATCCCTCTGCCCTGGCTTTTGCTGGACTCACAGATTTTTGCTGGAGTGGGTTGTTAGAGAAACGGCTGTTTGGGTTACAGCGTGTGGGAAAATTAATTTGCATGTTCGGTGAACATTTGAAAACCAGATGTCAGGGCAATGGATGTGCTGATTATTGGAATTAGGGAAGAAAACGTGCAACCCCTGAATCCATCTGACTTATTTCCTGGGTCTTTACCCCGGCGAGTATCCTACGTCCCAGAGCTATAGCAGTAAATAAAATTACTCATTTTAAAAGTTGATTTGTTTCTGATAATTGACCTTAACCTGTCTGCTTTGGCCTTTCGGGTACATTCAGACACCGCATCAAAATTATGGTGATGAGGGGCAAATGTACATTTGGTTCTGTAAAACTGTTAGCCAGCCTAAACACAGCAGACCGTAGTAGGTAAGTTTTAAGAAGTCACTGACGATATTTTAAGCCCAAGGTAACTGCAAGTGCTTCATACGATCTGTCAGTTAATCCAAAGAGAGTCTCGTGATGGATAGACCATGTGTTGGCTTGTCTGACACTTCTCAAAGATAGTGACAGTGACATGTATCAAACAGGACTGCCTTTCAGCTGCTTTGTCTTCAGCTTCCTGTTGCCAGTTCATTTAACTTAAATTATAATATATTGTGTGATGGGCCCAGTTTGGAGTATTGAGTTCAAAATGCTGATTACATTTGCATCCAGACACCGGCTGCTGAATGCTGGGCGACTGGATCCGTTCTGCTAACGGCTCTGACTCTGTTTCCACGTCTTGAATTTTGATAAAATAGGGATCTAAATGCCGGCCAGATTTAAGTTTCTCACGGTCACCTTAGTAAGCATCATGGCAATGGAAGAAATGCGTCTCATTTAAAGTGAAGTCAGCCTGCTGGAGAGTTTTAACCTAGAGATGGAAAAATGATTGTTACCCCATCACACTCCTCTCGGGATTTATGCCCATGTGGTATTGGGTTTGTTTAGGAAATGATCACGCTCTAGTTAAAGTCCACGGAGACTGGAATTGGTTTGGTGCAATTAGAATAGACCACTAAATTAGCATTTAACAACGACACCCAGGAGTGGGTCAGAGGATTTTTCATGCCGGTCATCCCTTGTTTCTGGGACCAATATACTTAGAAGACTGTTGTTTCGGGGGACAGCATAGCTTCGCTTCACTCCGTGGTCTACCTAACATGCGCTTCAGGCAATTGTGCGGTGCTGGGAAAGGGGAAGATTACTTCCAGCCCCTCGTGTTTGATTATGCATTTTGAACATTGAAGGATGGGTTTGGCGAGCTCTTGACAACAACTCAAGGACTCCTTCCCTTTACCCCCGACTTGTGTGGATAGTGGAGTTCACAGGCTGACTAAATTATGGTTTAAGTTCAGATAATTCTCACTGTATAATGCCAAAGCCCTGTGGGTTGTTTAATCACATGTTTTTGGTAGCTGAGTGATGCTGGAGAGCCATCAGAATGATGTTTAACAGCCCCTTGGAAGCCAGAGCTGGACTTTCAAGGTGCTGTGTGCTGTGCAGTGCTGGTACGTAGGTAAGGAGAAAATACCTGATCTTCAGTGACAGTGAATGTCACACTGCGCCCTCTGATTTGCCTAAACATCCGATATTGCAATTAGATGGAGCAGCGTACACGCAGATGACAAAACAATTAAACAGCAGTGAAACATAAAGGGGAAAAATTAACAAGTAACCAAATTCATTTGACACAGAGATCAAAACATATCGACGGTGTCTCGCAACTCTGATAATTCCATTGAGCTGTGCAGAGCTTAACGTTGATGCTCACACGCAACCTCTGATTAACATTAAGTGAGGCTGTCATTTTGACATAGCTGGATAAACCAATATTGAAAAATCTATTAAACATATCAGACTCGAGCAGGGAGCACAAATCTTATTATATTATTTCAGCTGTAATTAGGTGGGAGATAAAATCATAAACAGGGGAGTTGAGTGAATTTTCTCCCGACAGCGCAGACACCCGGGTTTCTGTTGTTTTGGGGAGAGGCTGGAGGGGTGCCAGGGACTCGCTGCTGCCCAGGATGTGCCGGGCTGAGAGGTGACTTTCGTAATATGCACATAACAGGTTTCGAAGTTCAACGATATTAGCGACAATCCTCCTTGAGATAACGACAGTTGTAATGGATGTCCTTGCATTTAACTGGAAATAGTAGTTCAGGGGTTTTACAACCCAGAGGCGGCCTAATTGCTTCTTTGAATAGATAAACGTTGCTATTTAGAAGGTTTGCTTTAGGACGTTATGTGTTCTGTTCCTATTAATAATGGAGGTCATGCCATTAAAACTTTCACATACTATTTTAAAAATAATTCTCTCGGGGAAACAAAAACAAAGACACCTTTCCCATTTTCAAGAATATTGAGGTTGCAAAGGCAGACCCTCCAGAGCGAGGAGGGAACTTGAGGTTTCCTCTTCAACTCGAGCTCCATGCAGACAGGACATGAGCTTAGTTTTATTATGTGGCCTCACCCTGTAGTTTCTATGCCAAGTTTGTGACTTGCTCCAAGGAACTCAGTGCTGCAGCCCGAGCCAGCAGCCAAATGGGCAGTTCTGGTGGCTTTGAATACATGTTGTATTCTTGTGCCTTCTACCATCTGCTTGTATTTTGTAGGTGGGGACCAGAAAGTCATTCATTTGATCCTAGTTATTGAAGGTGGGATTTATTTTCCCTAACTTTAGCTGTTAAAAGGTTGACGTCCCTGTGTAGCTAAGGACTTGCGGAGGGTGATCTCTCCCATCTGGTGATGGCAGTAGCCAAACCCTTTCCGGAGACCCCTCTCTCCATTGGCAATGGAAGCTGGCATATGCAGCTAAGCATAGGTGAGAGGAATTCCACCAGTAATGTCTAACCCCCGTCCTGATGTCATTTCGTTCTGCTGGTTGTCACGCTTTGATGACTCACCATCACCGCACTGCTGTGTGTGGGACAACGTACTTTCATAAGCATTCTACAAGTACAAACCCAGGGGAGAAGGCAGAAGGAGAAGTGAGCTTCCCAAGTTTACATGGGCCATTTGCGACAGGCAGAGAGCATGTCTTTCCTGAATGTGATGTAACACAGGGACCAAGAAACTATTCCTTGTCTTCTATCAAAGCCCTTCCCTGCTCCTCACGTGTGGTGAACGCTTTGTGGTGAACGAGCGATGAGCGCCAGGGTGCTCCTTGCACACACGCAGCATCCCCAGTCGGGAGCTCTTCAGTTTTCGCTGCAATTCAAGGAGCTATCGAGCTCCCTGAAGCCAACGGGCGTGTTGCCATTAGCTTCAGCGAAGCCAGGATTTTATCTTCGTCATACAGCCCTGCCTCATTCTCTGTCCAATGTTTGAACTAACTGAGGCATAAATTTAGTTCTGATGCTGGTTGGTAAGAAGTGAAAAATGAATTTCTGTCAAACCGGAATATATTTTCAACTATATTTAATAGGGTCTCTATCCCATCCCAAGAGGTCAGGACCTCTTTCTAACAAAGTTTATGATAATAGATTTAACTTCTATTAGTGTATTTGCCTTAGTATTTGCAGGGAAAGGAATAGAGGCGCTTTAAGAAATAGAAATGATTTATGTCAGGTATAGAATGCTTTGCTCTTTCTCATGTACTTTACTGTTGGAGGAATGAACAAATAGTCTGTGAATAAATAAGGGAATATTTATATTCTTTCTTGGTCTCAACTGCCCAACGTCTTTCCTTCTGGAATGGCAAAGAGTGCTGAATAATTCATGCAAGCAGTCATTAATCCTTCCTTCTCCTTCTCCCTCGCTCAGGGGGACACCTAGTTCAGA